CCTCCCAGTAGTTGCCTCCTAAGGGAGGAAGGGGAGCAGGAGTTGGGGGGCAGGACGAGGTTCAGCCGATCGCAGACCTGGATGCAGGGTCCCGTTTCCATGCGACATCGCGGATTGCCGCCGCCGAGCGAGGCGCCACCAGCCGCCTTTTTGGAGAGGGCACCTTCCCCGATCATCCATGGATTTGGCGACCGCGCGCCAAATCCATGGACCGCTAATCCATGTTTGCGCGCCCCCGAGAGGTTCGAGGATGGGTTTCACAGCTTCGGGCCTCTGGTGGCCCGCATCGGAGCACCTGCCCCAGCCTCAGGCCTGGGATGAGGAACCGTTCCAGATCATTCGGGAACGAGAGCTCCGGAGCGCTCTGGTACGGCCGCGGCGCCCGATGCATCCTCCAGATCCGCCAGCTTTGATCCTTAGATGCAATTCTTCAGGAGGGCAAATAACACACAGACGCAATGAATCGCCGATTCCAGAGACAAGATGGGGAAATGTGGGAAGTGGGGGGGGAACGACGAAAACCCAGAAAGTATGGGAACATATGGGGAATCCTTGGATTTGCGTGTATTTCTGTGTATGTGTGTGTCCCTGGGCCCCTGCAATGTTGTTCCCATCGTCCCTTCGTCGAGCAAGTTGGCTTCCCCGGGGGGCCATTTCGGCAGCGGCGCTTTGCGCACCGCGGCCGAGGGACAAGGACGAGACCGACGACGAGGACGAGGAGGAGGAGGAGGAGGAGGAGGAGGACGAGGAGAAAGAGGAGAAAGAGGAAAAGGAGGTGGTGGAGGAGGTAGAGGGTGAAGGCAGCTCCCTTCCTTCCGAGAGCCGCGCGCCTCTATGCAGCGCCTCGGGGGCACTGAGCGGGCAAAGCGTTATGAGCAAAACACTAAGGGCCTCGGGAGAGCCACAGCAGCAGCCCCAACAGCTTCCGTTGGAGCGACAAAACATACTCTCGAGCAGGCCCGCTTGCAGCTCGATCTGGTAGAGGGCGAAGCTCGAAGGTCTTGAGGAGCAGGTTCATCAGGCACAAGTTGCAGCATTTTCGGCCTACGACAAATTCCAGAAGGGTCGGCAGGTCTACTCCGACATCATTGATCGTTTCCGCTGCGAGGTGGCCCCAGCAGATTATCAGCAGCAGCGTATCAGTCTCGAGGATCCGTCTGCAGGGGAAGATATCGGCATGAATGGCAATGGGCTGCTTGGTTTGCAGGGGCTGGGTGGGGTGGATGCTACCAACGAAGGTCGCGATGAGGTTGACAGATGCAAGGCGGATCTTGGTTGCACTCGTACACAAGTCCATCACATAAGTTTTCTCTGTTCTTGGAAGCGGCCGCCGGTGCGTTCCAGGAACAGAAGATCTTCAACTCTCGCACGGAGGCTAAGAGATGCCGCCGAGCTGATGGACCGCCAGCCGACGAAGTAGATCCACCACAAGGTTCATGAGGTAAGTCGGCTCGAGGCCCAACAGGCGGCGATAGCACAGCTACACCCCAAGGTGCGGCGGCGCCTTCGACACCTTCGGCCGCAGCAGGGTATGCAGGCTCAGGAGCTTTAGCGGCTCTCTCGCCCGAGGCAGCCAACGCCAAGCCGTTGTACGCAAAGGCAGACGACGGAAATGGCGAAGGAGAAGCGCCAACCCCAGTTCCTCCTGCTCCAGCTGCCAAGCCGATTCGGGTTTGGGGCGATCACTTTTTGGACTGCCACCGCAACGTTCTGGGGGGCATGCACATCTTTCGTTGATAAGACAGCATCGCAGCGATTTCGGGATGCATTGTTTCGCAAGGCGGTGCCTCAGGCGCAGGCCATCAAGGAAGTTTCGAAGCATGAGCAGTCCAAGTCAGGGCTCCACATTCACCTGTTCCGGACAGGTGGGGTCAGTCATTCGAGCCTGTTTCGGGAGCGCGGTCTTCTTACTGCTGCTGAACCGTCCAGGGTTTTGGAGGCAGGAGGTCTGTTGGGAGGCGTGGCCATGGGTGCGCCAGCATGCGTTGGCATGACCCACCTCAGAGGCCCCAGCAGTCCCATCCAGTCATTGTGCGTTGGTCAAGTGGGTCAACGCAATACTTCTATCCAGGATCTTGGCGGCGTCATTGCATGGTCTGACCTCCGGCCCTTTCGGCCCCAGAAGGATCTTGTTGTTGAGCAGGCTAGGCGCAGAGCGACGCTTTGCAGGCGTTTTTTTTTGTTTTTCTGTGTTGATCGGTGGCGCCTGGGGCGCCCATCCAGTTGTTCTCGAGCGCCTTGGATGGGCGAGCAAGCTCGGGGGCCGCGTCGTTGCTCCGCGCTCGCCCGCTTGTGCCGCTGAAAAGGAGTATTGGATAACGCTAAATGGTTCCCTCCACTCGGGTGCCCTCGCTCCTTTCAGATGCGTCGCGCCAGGTATCACTCAGTTCTCACTCGGCACCTTAGGCCAGCACAGCAGGTCACGGCGCTCCTCAGTGCTCCAGAACAGTTCCCCATGCAGGCAGCGCCCAGTAGGGCCAGGTCCCAGGCCGCCCCGAGGCTGGCAACAGGCGCTCGAGACTCTGGAGGCCCAGGGGGGGGGGGCAGGGCAAGTTCAATGGCGGCCTTGTTAGATGCACATGTCTACTAAAACAAGTGCTGGCGGCAGCAGCTCGCGGCATGCCTGACCGCGACAGAGGTCGCTGCGCAGGGGGATGTCGAAGACGGGGCGCCAAGAGAGCCCCCGCCGCGCCGCTCGCGACGGGGCGCTGCCCCAGCTGCATGCCCTGTCCGCAGGGGCGGGGGGACATGGGGAAATCGGCGCCGGGAGCTTGCCCGCATCTCTTCCCGTGAAGGTGCCGAGGGCCATGTAGGGGGCCTCTTCGCTGTTCGCTAAGATTCCCTCTGGGGCGCCGCTGTCCAGGGCCGCTCTGGAAGGGGGGGGGGCGTGGTATCTTGCAGCAGGATGTGCTTCTCGGTGCGATCTGGGGGCACTGCTTGACTTGCGCGGGCTGGCTGGAGGCCATTCCGAGAAGCTGCGGCTGCGGAGGGCGTTCGTCCAGGGGGCGTTTCAGGCAGGAGAGGCCGAAGCACATCAATGTTCGGGGCACCCGATAGGAGGATGGCAACAAGTGGTGCCCCTCATAAAGGCCAACCTCCTCGAGGGGCCCCGGGCCCCATCGAGCAGAATTTGGAGGAAGGGGCTGTTTCTGGGGATCCTAAGGGAAAAGCTCGCCGCCTCTGGGCCATCCAGATCGAGCGTTTCAAAAGCTAGGCCGGCTTCTTTAGGCCCAGCCGTTCCCGTCTCGTGACGTCCAAAACCGCGCGAGATCCGCGCAGCCGCTAACTGCGCGACGGTCTGGTCCGCGCGCGGCGTCGACAGACCAGGGCCCAGAGTTTTTCAGTTGATGTGTGATGTAGGTCTTGAGGCATGGAATCTGCTCTGCGCGTGGGCGGTGGGAAGGGGCATGCTACTCTTGCGCCCCATTCTTACCCTGCAGCCAGCGCTTCCCATGCTGGGCGACGGAGGACACATGCTGGTCGCCCTGCTCAGCGCGGCGCTGAGGCGGTGGGAGGGGCGCGCTAGGGGCACGGCGGCAGAGTGGGAAAGGACGCGTCAACGCCCGAATAGTCCTGGCACGGGCTAACCCGCTCGAGCGGACCGTGCGGGAACATGCCTTTGCAGCACTGCGCGCGGGTTCAAGCGGTTTCGCCGTCGTGCGCGCGCTATCTGGTTTAGCGATGACGCGCGTCGAGGTTCACCGCGGGCAGTTGGCCGATCGGGGTAGCAAGTTTTCGTTCAGCATGTTTCGCCAGCGCGTGCGCGTGGCCCTCTGTTCTGCCCCTCTTCTCATGGGGCTCCAGTTTTCGAGGCCCACTTGCGCGTGCCCTGCGTTCTTGGCAGGGTGCGGACATGCTGGCGCCCCCCTTCTGGCAGGCCTGTCCTCAACGTTCGGCCGCATAGGCGCTTCCAAAAAGGCAGGAGGGCGGCGGTGATTCGCCGTGGGCGTCTTCGATCCGCCGCCCCCTGTCGATTCATCGCAGGGGTGCCTGGCGTGGGTCCTCATCCTCCCGGAGCTGGATCATCCTTCCAGGGGTTTAAGGCGGGGCGCCTACGCAGCGTCGCGGATGATATCATCATCCACACGATTGCAACCTGCGCCCTTGCCAGGAAGACGGCCGCTCAGGCCGCTCAAGATGTCTACCAGGGCCTGGAGAAACTGCCCATCGCCACCTCTCGCGCGAAGGGCCTCGTCTTTCCCGCCGGCGCTGCGCTGGCCAAGGAGGTTCGCGCTGGCTTCGGGCAGGGGTGGGTGAAGTCAGTTCATTCCGCTCGCGATCTGGGGCGTGGCTTCTCGTTGGAGGCGCCAGATCGGATCGGATTCGGACGGCCAGGCTCGGTGAAATGCGCCGTCGTGCAAAAGGATTTTGTCCGCTCAGATACTCCTCCTCCTCCCCCTCCTCCTCCTCCTCCTCCTCCTCCTCCTCGTCCTCCTCCTCCTCCTCCTCCTCATCCTCCTCCAGTTCAAGAAGCTCGCGACAAACTTCCCGAATCGGATCGCCCCCGGCAGCTGGCTGCGGCGCAGGCGTCACCTGGCGTGGCGCCCGGGCGGCTCCGCACTCTGCGCTCGCCCGTGGCGGAGAGCACGTTTTGCGGCGGCGCGTGGGCGCTTCGGAGCTGCCCAGTTCATGCTTGCATTAAGTCGGGCGCGTCCCTCTACAGGAGGAATATCCAAAAACAGTGAAACAATAGTCTGGGGGCGATGTGTTTCATTACCTTTGATTCTTTTTGGGGTATATTTCTATCTTGCGTCCAAAATCCGCCTGTAGGAGGACGCGCCCAACCTTCTGCTTGCAGGCAACGAGATGGCCAGGCCCCGCGCGTGTTTCCAGCGCCCAACCGCTGCCGCGCGGGGGAAAGGCGCGCCAGGGGAGGTGCGCCTCTGGGAAGCAGATGTGAGATGTTTCTCAACACTGGGGTGCCATAGGGACCTGCAAGAGCGGTTCCGTGCGCCCTTGAGAGGCGCGGGCGGGGCCCCGTCAGCGCGGCCCTCATGGAGGTGCCAACTGACATGCACTTGGACCTCGGCAGGCTCAAGGATTGGAGCCTCGGAGAGCTAGCTGGACCTGGAGCTGAGGGACAGCTCAGCAGTTCCCTCACCTGGGAACGCCATGGAGACAGCTGCTTCAAGCCGTCGCTGGACCCTGCGGCGAAAGGTCTGCGAGGAGTTCGTGTCCAAGGGGCATGGCTCTTGAAGCTGGCAGGCGACATGCTTATTCAAGGGGGGTCATTTCTGGATCGCCGCGCTCTCGCCGGCGAAGTCCCAGCGCGTGGCTTTCTCCGGGGCAATGGCGTCCATCGGTTTGTCGGTTTTCCGCGGGCCATTTGTTTCGGGGGGGAGTTAGGATTCAAAGGGGGGGCCGGGAGATCCCTTCCTCGCCCGCCGCCCGCCCCGCCCCCCCCGCCCGCGCTCTCCGACCCCCTAGACCCTCGATCGGCGGAAGTGGTTCATGCCCCCGCCAGGGGGGCATGTCGAAGATACTTTGTGCTTTGACGGCTTCGCCCTGGTCCCAGTGCAGTTGCTTCCGTGGAGCGGGGTGGGCCTTCGCCGCTGCCAGCAAGCAATGGGGGCACCTTGGCCAGGGCGCGCGGCCTTCTGCCTCGCCCGGCCCAGGACACGTCCAGGGCCGGACTTCTCGCCGCGCTCGTCATTTTGAAGAACTCGGCTCCAGGACAGATCGTTCTTGGAGTCGACTGCCAGATCCTCGTCGGCGTCTGGGCCCGAGGGCGGGATCGCAACGTCACCGACATCCCCGTGGGTGAGCTCTGGGAAGAAGTATTCTCTAGAGCTCGAGACAAAGGGGTGGGGTGGGGCGCCGGGACTTCTGAAGGTGCCGGCCCAAACAAGCAGGTGGAGAGCGGCCGCCGTTGGCTGGCAATCTGGGGCCCAGTACTACGCAAAGCATGCACGCGATCTCGTAGCGCGAATGCAGCGGCCAACGTACCACATAGCGATCACCCCTAAAGGTCTGAGGAGGGGCCGTCTGAACGGGTGGCCTCTCTATCGCTCGCTAGTCACAACTCGTGCTGGGTCATCGCTTCAGGACCAACCTGTGCGGCGTAGACCAAAGCAGAAGCAATGGCAGCGGTACCCCCCCGTGCTTTCTCCTTCCGTGCGCCTGGCCTGCACGGCCATTGCGTCGTCCACAGTGGGAAGGGCTTCTCGTGCCGTGTTTGTTTTCGCGGGAAAGAGATTGTGCCGCCCTGGTTCTACGCCCGCGCGCTGGACTGCCAACGGTAATCAGACGCATCCGCCCCGCTCACACGCTTTGAGAAGGAACGGAGGATGTTTTGGGCTCCGAGATATTTTGGCCAGGAGGAGGAGAAGGAGGAACGAAGACCGAGGAACGAGGAGGAGGGGCCGCGAGGAGGAGTGGAGGGAGGACGAGGGGGAGGAGGAGGAGGAGGAGGAGGAGGAGGAGGAGGAGGAGGAGGAGGAGGAGGAGGAGGAGGAGGAGGGGAGAAACGATGATGAGGATGATAATGCGAAGTTGGAGGAGGGGGAGGAGGAGGAGGAGGAGATGAGGGAGGACGAGGGGGACGGGATGGAGGAGGAGGAGGAGGAGGAGGAGGAGGAGGAGGAGGAGGAGGGGGAGAAACGATGATGATGATGATGAGGAGGAGGAGGAGGAGGGAGGAGGAGGAGGAGGAAAAGGAGGAGAAGGAACTTAGAGGCAGAGCCAGACGGCACCCGCCTTTTCGTTTCCAGGTAAGTTCCTAGGGGATCCCACCAACAAGTTACACAAGGTTCGATGTGCACACGAGTGTCTCAGCGCGCTCTTGGCGCTTGCTTAACGAGGGAGTGGACAAGCCCTTATCTTGCAACAGCGATCTGCACAAGGGGAGGCAGACCTTGTGTGGAAGGTCGCATCTTCGTATGACAGCTTGTGCGATGGACCGTAGGTCGTTGTGATTTCTGGGTCGGCAGCAGTACGGCTTGTACGATGCTAACTAAGTATGATGGGCAACGCACGCGCCTTGACGCCATCATCATATTCGGTTTTCCCGCCGCCATCTACGTCATCATCGTTGCCAGGCAGTGCATTTGGAGGCACTTGCCCCGCGCTGGTACCTAGCTGCCCGTAACTGTTCACATGTTTCCGTATGTTCGTGATGCGCATGTATCACCCGTTATAGGTGTCATGTACATCAATACCACATTAATTGAACATAGATGCACCTTACCAAGCAGTTTCATTGCAGTACAATCCGAAGAATTCTGTGTGTTTATTTATAGGTATATACATTCTCGCACAATTGAAACATGGTTGTATCCATATGTTGAGGATGCCCCTCAAACTTGCAGATGTTATAGCATGGATTGCCACTGGTGTAAACATGCTACAGGTGCCCAACACTGCAAAGACAGGCAGCACGGGTGCTGCTGGCCTCTGCCCGGCGGTTGCAGTGTTTTCCCGACCCTCTTCCGCCCTCTCGTCCTCCCGCCGACGACCTGCCGAGAAGGGGTGCCGAAACTGATGGGCCCCGCAGGGTGTTACACACTACAGTCGGGGCCCTGAAGAAGGAACCCTTTTCGTTGGGGAGGGGCTCCGCGTTCCTTAAGCGTTTCGCAGCTTGCCTCAGGTTTTCTTTATGGTTTCGATCGGAAGTCGAAGCTTAACTCATGGAAAAAAGGGGCCTCGTTCCTTATTTTGGGTTCCTTAGGTCAAGCCCCCGACTGTACAGCCCCCCCAGTTTTGCATGGTCCCCGGACATCCGCTGTCCTGCTTTTTGCAGTGGAAGCACATGCCAAGAAACACCGTGCTTGCCTCCAGGGTGCCCTTGGTTTCTTGTGTCTCGACGGTGCTGCCACGGAAGGCGTGACGCCCCCGCACCATAATCAATGGACGTCCTGGGGTCTCAGGGTTGGGTTTCGTGTGGAAGGTCTCTTGTGGTTGAGCTCCTGCTGTATCCACGCGGTGCTCCTGGAAACCCCGAGCCTTTCTCTCCGGGGGCCGGCTCTCCCGCCCGAGCCGTTCCTCGACTCGGGACGATCGAAATGGGTACTGAAAGAATGAGTACAATGCCCAACAGTTGTTCCTGTTCATTTTGAGCAGGACTCGCTGTCCGCGCCGCCGCGGACGTGGTTCTTTGAAGACAGAGAGCCGCCTGCCCAACAGCGGCCGCTGTCGGTTTTGGACAACGTCTGCTGCTGGGCACTGTACCCACTTCCTCCGTACCCATTTCGGGCGTCCAACTCGACGGCCCCGGGTGGGCGCGGCGAGGGCCAAGCCCCCCAGACGCCGACAGAGCGGCCGACAGCACGTCGTCGTGATGCTTGCACCGGGCGCGGGCACGTCTGCACGGGGAGTCTCCCCGCCCCACCCCGGAGGGGGGGTAGTGTTAGGTCGGGCGTGTCCCACTGCAGGGTTTTTTTTTGAAGGAGCAGAGTCAAAAAATATTCCAAACATATTCAAACATTCAAAGAACTCGTCCCCGTATTATCTTTTTCCCTGTATTTTTGAACATTCTTCCTGTAGAGGGACAGGCCCGACTGAAGGGTAGTGGGATGACCGCGGGGGCTGCTAAGGTGACAGAGGGGGTTATAAGCGGAGCCGACGAGCCTACGTGTGTCAAGGGAGGAATAACCACCCGGTTCGGACAATTGGCGTTTGCTAAACGCCCCTGGGTCTTCTGCAAACAGCCTTGCCCTGCTCGATTCCTTCTTTGGGAGCGTTTACTAAACGGCTTCGGGTGTCGGGGTGATTCTTCTGGGGTTGGATTTTCGCCTCCTTATGTGGTCCAGCCGGGTTCACGAGGGGTCGCAAATGCCCCGAATCGCTTCGGAGGTTTGCTGAGTCCGCTGAGTGGGCGGAGCCGATGTATCCAGGATACGCTCAGAGTAGCCAGGGGAACACTCTGCTGGGATCGTTGACCCCCCAGGCCACTTTGGGCCGTGCCACAGGAGGAGGGGGAGGAGGAGGAGGAGGACCCCCCCCTGTGAGGAGCGGCGCAAAGGCCGCCGCGCGGCCGCGAAGCCGGCCTGCGAAGCTGGCCTGCGCGTGCGGGGCCGAGGCTCGGGCGGTCTCGACTGTCTAGGCTTGCGTCGGGCCTGTCGCTCTACACGAGGAGTCTTCAAGGTAGTCATATATAAAAAACAGTCGGGGGACGATTTCTTCAAGAGGAATACCCAAACAGGAGAAAAACATCAGACAGGAGGAATACATATATAACACGTCCCTCTACAGGAGGGATGTTCAAACATAGTATTCAGAACAACACAGAGCTATAAGAACAAACAGTCTGGGGAGGATTTGTTCAAGAGGAAGATTCGACAAGGAGGAATATTCACAAAGGAAGAGTATTCAAAAAACAAGTTCCCCTACAGGAGGAATATTCAAACATAATATTCAGAAACGGTACAAGAGCAGTCTGGGGACGATTTGTCAAGTATTTTCAGATATGTTTGAGTTTTGTTTTGGCTATGTATGATTTTTCATTTGGGGACTGAGAGACCTCCTACCCTGACACGTCGATAAGCGAATTGGCCGTTTTCGGCTCGCGAGAGGGCGTCGCGGCCGTCATTTTTGCGGGGCCAGGTCCGTCGGTTTCGGTCCTAGGCCGTTTTCACCAGAGGTTGGTTTACTAAAGGCAGGTTTGTCCACCGCCGAATATTCAAACATAGTTTTTTTGTGTTGCTGTACATATATATATAGTAAAATAAACAGTCAGGGGACGATCTTTCGAGTATTTCAGACTATTTGTTTTGAGTTTTGTTTTGGCAATCCTTTTGTTTCTTTCAGAATCGGCATGTAGGGGGACATGCCCGACCTAAGTTTAGGCCTCCCTGCTGAGGGCCGAACATACGGGATCGGAGGATCGCGCCGCATTGCCGATGCATCGCCGATGCATGTCAATGTGAGGCCCCACTCTCTCCACGCTGGCGCCGCCGACGCATCGCCGATGCATCGGCGATGCACCGACGATGCATCGACGATGCGGCCCGATCCTCCGACCCCATCTACTAGGACCCCATTTGAGAGGCTTTTAGTAACGGAGGGGGGGGGGGGCGACAGAGGGGAGATCCGAGAGGGTTGCAGGCATGGGCCTCTAGCGTCAGAGGTGGACAAGGTTCCGGCACCGCATCTCGTCTCGGAGCGCCTGCGTCGCAACGGCTGGACCCTGCAGAACATCTGGCAGAAAGGCACCCCCAGAA